CACGTATGTGTGTGGGCATGTGTGCGCAAGTGTGTGTGTGAGTGTGTGTTAGTGAAAATGTATACGTGTGTGTATGCGTATGTAAATGTATATGTGTGCATGTGTTCAAATGTTTGTATGTGTGTGTGTGTGTGTGTGTGTGTGTGTGTGTGTGTGTGTGTGTGTGTGTGTTAATACATGTTTTAATATGTGTGCACTCGTGTGTGTGAATTTTTAATATGTGGTTTAATGTGTGGGTGCGTGTGTGTGCGCGTGTGTATGTATGTGTCTGTGAGGATAAATGTATGTTTGTTTTTATCCCTCTCTTTTCCCCTCTCTTTCTCATAGCTCTCCTGAAATCCCCCTACCCTCCACTCACCAATCCTCAGGCCTCTCCCCCACGCCCAGAAGTAGAACAAGTCCCATCCCACTCATTGACCTTTTACCTTAACCTCCCCAGACACCAGAGGCCACCATGTACGGTATCGCTAAAGGCGCTCTGGACAACTTCACAAAGGCTGCATCCAACGGTGAGTGTACCAAAGGTTATCATGTACAACTGGTTAGATGTAATGTCCCTTTGGCGTCGTCTCCAGCAGCAGATATTTCTTACACACTCACACTCTCACACTCTCACACTCACACTCTCACACTCACACACTCACACTCTCACACTCACACACTCACACTCTCACACTCACACACACACATGCTCACACACTTACACTGTTTGTTAGTCTGTTATTTTAAAGGATAAGCACAACGACCCAATAACGAGGGTGCTCTGGTGTTGTTTGCTCCTTCTTTTCTACCAAACGCCTGTCGTATTCGTCCCTCCTTCTCCTTTTCTTTGTATATCATCGTCCTTGTCTCTCCTACTTTTCTTTGTATGTCATCGTCATTGTCTCTCCTCCTTTTCTTTGTATGTTATCGTCCTTGTCTCTCCTCCTTTTCTTTGTATGTTATCGTCCTTGTCTCTCCTCCTTTTCTTTGTATGTCATCGACCTTGTCCCTCCATCTCCTTTTCTTTGTATGTCATCGTCCTTGTCTCTCCTCCTTTTCTTTGTATGTCATCGTCCTTGTCTCTCCTCCTTTTCTTTGTATATCATCGTCCTTGTCTCTCCTCCTTTTCTTTCTTTGTCATCGTCCTTGTCTCTCCTCCTTTTCTTTCTATGTCATCGTCATTGTCTCTCCTCCTTTTCTTTGTATGTTATCGTCCTTGTCTCTCCTCCTTTTCTTTGTATGTCATCGTCCTTGTCTCTCCTCCTTTTCTTTGTATGTCATCGTCATTGTCTCTCCTCCTTTTCTTTGTATGTCACTCTCTAGTAACAACACCTCTACAAATCCGCAATCTTCTGATCTATTTGTGTCGAAAGTGCCGTAAAACTCAATATAAAACTGAACTAAACAAGAAAAAAACCGATGTGTTTTTTAAAATGTGTATAAGTTCCAGGCAAGACAGCACAGCCTGTGTAGTATGTTTGGTTACACGGAGGAAACGGAAGCAGAGATACGCGAAAACCATCAATTGTGTATGGTTGTTTGTTAGTTTGTTTGTTTGCTGGCTGTTTGTTTGTTTGTTTGTTTGTTTGTTTGTTTGTTTGTTTGTTTTAATAACAAAAAGTTAAAGGTAAGCAGTTTGACTCTGGCACTTTTATTAAGGTTATTATTAAGAAAATAAGTCCTGTGATTTAATCAGGATTAGAAATATGCTGTTGTCTTCTGTTAGGAATATAGTTCTTGTGCTTTGATTAGGGTCAGGATCAGGGGAGAAAAAGTGCTAACATTTTTCTATTTCGTTATAAATATGATTATAGATTTTGTTTCAATAAGGGTTAGGAAAATGAATCTTGTGTTTTTGCTTATGGTTAGGATATTAAACAAAATGTTGTGTTCTGGATTTCTGTTAGGGTCAGAAATATAGAAAATGTGTTTTGATTAGGACTAGTATTAGTAATATAGATCTAAGTGCTGGATAAGTAGGTTTAGAATTATAGGAACAGCAACTGAATTGGTATACGTTATGGGAATATAACAGATTTAGAAGTATAGTGACTTGGTGAATGTGTCAGAGAGTATAGTGACTTGGTGAATGTGTCAGAGAGTATAGTGGCTTTGTGAATGTGTCAGAGAGTATAGTGATTTGGTGAATGTGTCAGAGAGTATAGTGGTTTTGTGAATGTGTCAGAGAGTATAGTGGCTTTGTGGATGTGTCAGAGAGTATAGTGGCTTGGTGAATGTGTCAGAGAGTATAGTGGCTTGGTGAATGTGTCAGAGAGTATAGTGGCTTGGTGAATGTGTCAGAGAGTATAGTGGCTTTGTGGATGTGTCAAAGAGTATAGTGGCTTGGTGAATGTGTCAGAGAGTATTCTGTCAGGTGAGAATACAGCAAGAGTATAGTGGCTTTGTGTCAGCAGCTATTCTACGTTCTGCACACATGCTCCTCCACGCGGGGTGGATAAGCGGCGGATGCGCCGTCGACATTCGGTTTGAGCTATGGTTGCTCTCAAGTGCGAAGTGATAGTTATAGAATGCTGAAAACACTCACATCAGACGCACGATACTCAGCACTGTCCCGTTCGATCGACAGTGCCCACACTCTAGCATCATGCACCTATACCGCATATATCCAAAGCTGCTAGGCGCAAGGATGTCGTCACTCTCGGGGCGGCGTCATGCGACAGCAGAAGCGTATACTGAGACTACAAGACTGAGGATGGATCGCGACCGTTGGTGAGTACCATGCAATAAGTCCAGTTTGTTACCAAAATGACAGTTTCAGCTCAATACGTGTCACTGTCGGGCTGAAAGG